TGCCAACTTGCCACAAATTAGAATCACCTGAATTGGGAGCCCCCAACTGCAATGGAAGAATTGTCCTGATTGCTTAATTAAGAGAAAACCCACCCCAAATGTAGGCAGCAGTCCAGATAAAAAGGGGCACGGCTGAAGGAAGTTTCTCCCCCACCCCCTCTCCACAAGTTGATTCATCCTGTTGCTCTTTACTGACATCACAGCAGGGTTTTCCAGGCTTCTATCATTGACTGAGGACCAGCAGCTCTTCAGGAAACCTCCAGGTTTTTGGAGCCAGATTGGGACTGCTGAGGTGCCCAGCCCTGTGGACTAAGCAACTACCAGGTGCAGCTTCTCCAGTGCGAGCCAGCTACTGTGGAACTCTTGTGACTGCTGAAGCACCCACCCAGCCTGAAGGATCAAGCAACTACCAGGTTCTCAGCTGCTCAGCTGTGATTCAGTTGTTCTTAATATCTCAAAGTTAATAAATTATATATATATATGTATATATATACATTTCATTCTGTCTGTTCTGTTCCTCTAGAGAACCCTGACTAATACAAGCCCTGTAGGACACATTAGTAGTAATGCTTCCTGTTATCCATCTACTCCTCTCTACAGCAGCCTCCTGAAGGGAAGTGCCAAGATCCTCAGGAACAATTAAAGTCCATGCAGCTGGGCTGGAGACTCCCTAAACAGTACTGGACAACTAGCACTAACTAACAAGATCTAAATCTATCTCCTATCTTGATTCTCTGTTACCTTATAGGGACTCTAAAAACCCTAATTCTCAGGGCCGGGCATGGTGGCTCATGCCATTAATCCCAGCACTTGGGAGGCAGAGGCAGGTGGATCTAGATCAAGGCCAGCCTGGTCTGCATAGTAAGTTCCAGGCCAGCTGGAGCTAACAAACAAAGACCAAAAAACCCCCCTAATCCTCTACCCCATTACATAACAGTTCCCTGCCTCCTTGGGTACTGTTGTCTTCCCAAAGTAAGTAAAACTTTTCCTCATGACATGCCTGTTGCTCTTTTTTTCTTTTTTACTTCCCAAAGGCTATTACTAAAACTTACTAACCCAAATAACTATGTTATCCCAAGATTTCTCTTTTCTTTATCCCAAGATCTTTTAATAATACAGGAACCTCAGACCCCATAGACTCAACTTTTGGAAAGTGTCCTCTTGACGCCAAACAACCATGACCTGAAAAATTCACCCTTGATATGGCCATTTATAGGCACAGGTACCAAAATAGACTGGCAGATAAAGACAGCTTTATAGATCACCCTAAGAGCTAACCTTGTTCCTTCCAAAGATGGAGATGGGAACTCTTGTTGATAGAATAGTATCATGTGTAATTCATATGTATTTCTGTGTAATGCTTTATATATCAGTCTATGTGGTGAAAACATGGAATGGAATTCACTCTATACTTAAATAACTAATAAGCCTGTGACTACTTAGGTTATTTTTCTTTTATTTCTTTTATTATTATTTTTATTTTATGTGTATGAGTGTATTGCCTGCATGTATGTAAGTGCACCAGTGTTGTGCAGTGCCCATGGGGGTTAGAAGAGGGTGTGTCAAATTTTTCTGGAACTGGAGTTATAGATGGTTGTTAGCCACCATGTGGGTGCTGGGATTCGAACCTGGATCCTCTGCAAGAGCAGCCAGTGCTTTTACTGCTGAGCCATCTCTACAGCCCATGCTAAATTATCAAAAAAATTTTTATATCTTTATATACCTTAAAATGTGTGTGTGCATATGTGTGAATGTGTTTTCACATTTACAAAGAGCTGGAGAGATGGCTCAGTTTTTCAGAGTACTGGGTGCTCTTGTAGAGGACCAGGGTTTGGCTCCCAGCACCTACAAGGTGACTAATAACCATCCATGATCCCAGTTGCAGGGTATCCAACATCCTCTTCTGACCTCTGCAGGCATTGCATGACATGGGTGTACTTACATACATGCAAGCAATACACTCATACACATAAAATAAAAGATATAATATTTTAAAAAATCTATCCCTGTCAAGCTTTATCGAAATATTTCATAGCAACTAAATTTTAAAGTGTGATTTGTTTTTCAATATTATGTAACTGTCCTTCTGGGTGTTTGTGCTGCTTAGTTTTTGTTACTTGATTACAAACCTACACTTATCTGATAAAAGAGAATCTCAACGAGGAATTTCCTCTACCAATTTGGCCTGTAGACATGTCTATGGGGACATTTTCTTAATTGAATTGATGAAGGAGGGTCCAGTCTACTGTGAGCAGTGCCATGCCTAGACAGGTGGGCCTGGGCAGTATAAGAAAGGTGTCTGAGCAAGCCAGGAGGGTACGCCTGTAAGCAGTGTTCCTCCATAGTCTCTGCTTCAGTTCCTGCCTTGAGTTCCTACTTTGACTTCCTTTGATGATGGCTGTAACCTATAAGCCCAATAAACTATTTTCCTTCCCAAATTGCTTTTAGTTATGGTGTTTATCACAGCAACATAAAACCAAATTAGGACCGTGTTCAATATCCATACTTGGAGGACTATGCCAATATGGACAAGGGGTCAGATGACCAATATATTGGATCCTATCCTCGGGTCAGCTATGTCTCTGGGTTTACAAGACAACTCAAACAGTCCTACAGCTCTGATAAGTTACCTGTCCTATCAATCAGAGAAGTCATGGAGACCCAGTACTAGAGGTTGGAATCTAACTAGTATACATTCTGCAAAGAGGAGAGTCAACATGGAGGGAAAATGCCCTCAGTTGCTTCCAAGGGTAGTTGCATGGTCAATAGATTCTGACTCATGCTAGCAAAAAAACAAGTGGTAAAAGGATAAGGGAGCCAGGACTCCTCCCAAGTCCCCAATAACTGGTCTTAAATTGATCCTAACAGCAACAAATAATAATAATAATAATAATAACAATATTTAATTTTGGCCACCTATCTGGTTTTCACTAGATGGAAAGAATAAAGATTAAAATGATTGGTATAATACAAAACAAAGCTGAACTAGACTTTGAAAGGGACAAATGATAATTCAGGCCTTATACAGGTCTTCCCATTAAATGCTGTTTGTTGTATGAGCTACTGACATACCAGATAGGACAATCATAGCCACTCCAGCTATAAATACAAGGATAATATTTATTTATATAAATACTTTTAGATAGGTTTATCGATGTCTATTGGCAGTTGTATCTTCTTTCATGCACTCAATGGTCACAACCTAACATCATTTTCTTTTTCTTTTTTTGGTCTTTTTGAGACAGTCTCCCTGTAGTTAGCCCCAGCTGGCCTGGAACTTACTATGTAGACCAGGCTGGCCTCAAACTCTGAGATCTGCCTGCCTCTGCCTCCTGAGTGCATGGCTCCAACCAGATTCTTAATATATAATCACCAGTAAGTTAAAAAAAGCCCAAGAGATCACACCCCTGAGAGCAAGCTAAAAAAAAAAATGACTCTCCTAAAACAAACATGAACCACAACTTTCTCAGCTCTCATCCTTTCTGTGGTCATCAATTGGCAGAATCATGTAACTCTTACTTAAACCTTATATATAGAGCCTGTAAAATTTGTATCTTCTAGGATATGTAATAATTTCAAACTAAACTCTCAATGACAGAGATTTCAACCAACTTTGGACTGGAAATCTAAATCCTCCTCTCCAAACAACATTTAAAACCTATAGAGTCTTGTGGTCTCTTTTAGGCAGGTACTATGACCATCAACAGCATGGAAGTAGTTATAGAAAATGATAGTTATAGGAAGTAGTTATGCATCCAAAAAAGATTTCTGGGACCATGACACTCAGGGGGAACTGAGGCAGGAAAATAGGAAATTGGAGGAGGAGGGTCCATAGATTAACATATAAAAGGCCAAGGCAGGGGAAAGATGCAGGCCTTAGTTCACCTGAGCTTTGTTCAGGCAAGGACCATTCTTGGAAAACCCCCCATTATGAGCATTTGGTGGATACTATGTTAATGACCCATAAATGCTCCCTTTTCCCTTTTTGCCATCTAGGAGCAAGGCTATAGGCCACAGGTAAGACATGGCACACTTTCAGGCTCCCCTATATCTTCTCTTCTGTTACTAGCCATGTGACACTGCACAATTCATTTTACAAAGGCTTAAGAACCTGGCAACCATTGTCTGCTCTCTAGACTCAGATCCACACCTATAAAAAAACCCTCTTATGAGTATTAAGGTGTTGAAAGGGTTTTCCTGGCAGAGGAAGCAACCCCGGGCATTACATCCTTGTTTAATTTAGCTCCCACAGTTAAATCCTTAGCTATCTCTGCATCATCATTAGGGAGTGAACACTGTGGGGCTCCCTGTCAGCAGTCAGTGTGATCATGGGATAGGGAATGTGTTTACACTTGTGAATGTAGACTTTCCCTGGTTGAAGCAAAGAAAAGTCTTTATGTGAATTCAAAGGTTGATTCCCATATCTTGAATCCTTTGTAGAATATTGCTGCCATGAATTTCCATTGAATACTTGTATTTCCTTTTTGTTGTGTTTTAATTTTCTTGGCAGAAAATGGTTAGATTGAAACATAAGGTGTGAGAAAAGCCTTGGGCATTTGTCTCATCTCAAATCCTTGAATTTGTCTGTCAGGCTCTACATCTTGTTCCTTTGCCTGGACTGACCTCAGGATTCCTCCTACCCTGACGTCTTGAGTTTTCCCCTTGGGGAACTGAGTCTGGAATCTCCAGAGCAAACTTGGGCACTTTTGTGGTTAAAAAGCAGGCGGGACACTGACTACAGAATGAAGTGAGTGCATGCACTAAAAAGCCTGGAGCATGTTCTCCATAAATACAATGATATCCCAGGTTGGGCCAAGTTTATTCTAGGGAAAAATGCTTGGGATAATACAGGTTGTAGCTGAAACCTGCCACTTCAGTTGCACTTGGACAGGGAAAATACGTCAGCTTTGACACTCAAACCCAAGAAGCCTGGCTGTATCCTTCACCAATCAAAGACGCTGTTACTGCCCTGCTTGAAATGTCCAATGACCAGCACCGGTGGTGGCGGGTGCCGCCCTTGCCGCCATGTTGAGTCCCTAGGAGCTGACGCGAGGCTTGTGGCTGCTCGTCTTCGGTGACTTTCATCAAGCTATGTCTTCTACGGACCGCAGGCCCCTCAGGGCGGACACCTGGGTGCTTCAGAAGCAGGAAATGGTGAGTGTGCGGTGGCACCTGGAGTCGTGGGCTGCGGGTTTGTCACACCGCGGCGGCTTCGGCGTGATGTGGCGCCGCCGCCCGGTCGTTCCCCTGGCGCTGTGCGGGGTGAGTTGGAGTCTGGCTCTGCCGCCATCATCTCCGAGTGCGCTTGAATTGTGTGCCGAGCAGGCAGCCGGGAGCCCGGCGCCCAGGCCTGCGCTGCCCTTTGTCCTAGCCTGCGCTGCCCTGCCCTTTGTCCTTGTCGGCCCTCAGTCCTGGCCTGGGACGCTGCATCATCCGGGTCCCCGGTCCTCTCTGGGCGAGTCCGCACCGAGAACCTGCGCCTCCGCAGAGACTGCAGCGCCGGCGGCGTGGTGCTGATGAATCCAGACTGCCGTGTGGGTGGTGTGCGCTGTTACCCGTATGAGCTTGCACGATTTGTGCTGCTTTAGTTTTTAACCCTGTGATCGCCTTGTTTTCTTTTTTCCTCCTATTTCCGCAATTGAACTCCAGACCCGGCACATGTTAGGCAAAGGCTTTATTCACTGTTGAGCTGCACCCCCCCCCTTTTTTTTCCTAACCTTCCTTTTTTTTTTTTTTTTTTTTTTTTTTTATAATTCGTTTTTTTCTTTTCTTATAAATGGGGCAAACCTCTCTTCTTTGTGGGAGAGGGGGAGAAATTATTTTTTTTTTTTGGATAATAATGCGTTTGCTCCTTCTGCTAGAAATCGGTCAAAACTCCTAGTCTTGGAGGAAGGAGAGGAAATTTAATTTGCTTTACATTTTTAAAAAAGACTTTTTAAGGTTTTTTTTCTTTCTTTCCTTTATTTTATTATTTTTTTTTCGGTACTGATCATTCCTGAGACTAAAATTGGGAATTTGAAAAGCTTTTCCAGCTTGATTGTGAGCTCTGCAAGTGGATCATGCGCTTATATTGTGTTTGCTTTGCTCTAGGCTGCTTCTCCAAATAGAAGGAATTGAGAGTGGGAGTTCTTTAATAGCTATTTACCGGGATTACATTCCTTGGGAAAAAACAATGTTAATATTTTCAGTAGAATGATGGTTTCCACAATTATTATTTCAAGCCATTGAGGGACATGACTCATCAATTTCTTCACTCTTTGACACTTTACATTGTAGAGATCTTAAAAAAAATGTTTACTTTTGGGGAAGGTGCCAAAGGGAAGGGAGTATAAAGATTATTTTCTGTATGAAATACACAAAAATTGAATAAAAAAATTAATTTTTTTTATTATTTTATGTGTATGAGTGTATTGCCTGCGTGTATCTAAGTGCACCCGTGTCATCCAGTGCCTTCAGAGGTCAGAAGAGGGAATTGGATCCTCTAGAACTGGAGTTAAGGATGGTTGTTATGTACCATGTAGATGCTGAGAATCAAACCCCAAATCCCTGTCCTCTGCAAGAACGGTCAGTGCTCTTAACCTCTGAGCCATCTCTCCAGCTCTTGTAAGAGGTCTGTTACTGTCTTGCTTAGGAGGGTCGATTTGAGAAAAAGACTTTATTCTCTACCTACTGAAGAAAATGTTTTGTGTTTGAGAGTTCACTTGAGCGTGCAGTACATCAAAAAATATTACTATTAAGTGTGTGTTGGTATTTGTGTATGATAGAGAACATAATGTTTTTTTTTTAATATTTATTTTTATTTTGTGTGTTTGAGTGCATTGCCTGCATGTATGTGATTGCACCCATGTTGTGCAGTGCTACAGAGGTCAGACACGGGCTTCGGATTCCCCTGGAACTGGAGTTAAGGATGGTTCATAGCGGCCATGTGGATGCTGGGAATCGAACCCGGGTCCTCTGCAAGAACAGTCAGTGCCCTTAACCACTGAGCCATCTCTCCAGCCCCAAGAACATAATAGTTTTTAACTTTGTGGGCTTGGGTTACTTTAGCATCTTTTTTTTTTTTTTTACAGTTTTATCCACTTTCCTGCACATTTTATCTTTCTTTAGTGTATGGAATTCTATTTTTGTTGTTTTTTGAGACTGGGTCTCCCTGCTCCCTGTAGCCCCAGCTGGTCTGGAACTAGCTATGGAGACCAGGCTGGCTTTGAACTAGGCATTTCTATTTCCATGCTGATTTCTTTTTTTGTTGTTGTTGAGACAACAGGGTCTCTGTAGCCCCAGCTGGCCTGGAACTATATAAAACCAGCTGGCCTCACAGAGGTATGCCTCCCTCTGCCTCCCAAGTGCTGAGAGTAAGGCCACCACGCCCAGCTATTCTGATTTCTTTAGTAAGCAACAGCTTACACTCTTCACCAGCAGTTAATAAGGGCTCACATTTCCTCCCATCCTAGCCAATGTTTAAGTTTAGTAGGTTTGCTGGGGCAGGCTCTTTTTTTTTTTTTTTTGAGAGAGGGTCTCCCTGTAGCCTCAGCCGGCCTGGAACTCACTATGTAGACCAGGCTGGCACTCAACTCAGAGATCTGCTTGCCTCTGCCTCCCAAGTGCGCCACCACACCAGCTAGACTATAAGTATAAAATTCTTAGGGGCAGGCGGATTCCTGTGAGGTCCCCTGGCCTACATAGTGAGTTCCAGGCCGGCTGAGGCTACAGGGAGACCCTCTCTCAAAAAAAAAAAAAAAAAGAATTTTATGCATATAATCAATTTTGATCATTTCCACCTTCAACTCTTCTCATACCCCTGAACACATTTCACTCTCAAATTCATATCCTACTTTAAAAATAAATATTCTTTTGGGTCCAGTTAGTGCTTCCCCTATGGATGTGGGGCCATCCGTTGGAGCATAGGCAACTTACTAATGGCCACAGCTCCAAAGAAAAATCAACTCTCCCCAGCAGTCATCAACTGCCAATAGCTCCTCACCTAAGGGTAGGGCCTTATGAGCCTGTCCCCATTTCATGCTGGAATTTGACTGGCATAATGTAAAGTGTGAGAATTTCAGAAACTGATGCATCCATCAGTTATAAAAAAGATTTTTGTGTGTGTAGCACTGAGCTCCTTCCTTTTTTTGTTTTGTTTTGTTTTGTTTTGAGACAGGGTCTCCCTGTAGCCCCAGCTGGCCTGGAAGTCACTATGTAGACCAGGCTGACCTCGAACTTACAGAGATCCTCCTGCCTCTGCCTCCTGAGTGCTGGAATTAAAGGCATGAGCCACCATGCCTGGCTACACTGAGCTCCTTCAAAGACATGCCCTTTTTCTCTTGTGTCTTTGTCCATTGACTTTCTTCCATAAAAGTATGTTGTTCAAATTTAACATGGAGAATTACCCTTGATGAGACTTTAGTATTAAATTGATAAGAAACCACTTCTTTCTGATTAATACTGTATAAGTATCTAGGTACAACCTTCCTAATGATGTCTCAGTACAGTGTGGAGGGGTGTGCCCAGTGACTTAGGTAACCAACTTTGGCAATAAGTTTTCCAGGTTATCTCTCAGATAAGTGGTAAGTGATTTTTCATTCAGATTTTATTTTAGATTTTGCTCAGGTAAAGCCCTGTTTGAGTATGCCAGAAATATGCAAATGTTCAGAGGGATTGTGGGAGCTTGCACAAATTTTATATTGTTTGTATAAACTGTTGCATAGCTGTGAGCCCCACTTTACAGGTTGACCAGTTGTGTACCTTCCAGAAGAAATTCCCATACTTGGATCAAGTTTGCTGATAGACATTTTTTTCTTTCCTTTAGTTTTTTGGTCTTTTTGAGACAGGGTCTCCCTGTAGCCCCAGCTGGCCTGGAACTCACTATGTAGACCAGGCTGGCCTGGAACTCACAGATCCTTCTGCCCAGTGCTGGGACTGAAGGCCTGGCTCCTTTTCACCATTCTTGTGTGTGTTTGTTTTCTGTTGTTGTGATAAACTACCCTGAGAAAAGTAACTTAAGGCAGAAAGAGTTTATTTCAACTCATTATTCAAGGGCACTATTCATGGCAGATAAGGCGGCAGGAGCATAAAGCAACTGGTCTTATTGCATCTACTGTCCGGAACAGAGGGTGATGTATGTTTTTCTGGAACTCAGTTCCCTTCTTTACTTAGGTAGTCCAGGATCTCAGGCAGGGATTGATTAGGTCTTTGCACCTTAACCTGGATAATCTGTTACAAGTATGCCCAGAGCTCTATTTTATGTTGCCTTGTTGGCACTAATCATCATAACTCTACCCCTTGTCACCCAAATACATTACTTTTAAGCCATAACTTTCCATCCTTCATTCCTATAGGCTCATGACCATCCTATAATACAAAAATACATTTTTTATTAAAAATATTAATATAAGGGGCTGGATGGCTCAGTGGTTAAGAGCACTGACTGCTCTTACAGAGGATCTGGGTTTGATTCCCAGCACCCACATGGTGGCTAACAACCATCTGACTTCAGCTCCAGGGGATCTAGCACTTCTTCTGACCTCCATGGGCATTGCATGACATGGATGCACTTACATACATTCAGGCAGTACACTCATACATATAAAATAAAAATAATAAAATATTGAAAAATATAAAAATTAAAAAGTCAAATTTTATTTATTTTTTTAAATCATTTTTATTCTGTGTGAGTATATTGCCTGCATGTACTTAGGGGCAGTCATATCATTCAGTGCCCATGAGGTCAGAAGAGGGCATCAGATCCCATGGAACTGGAGTTAGAGACAGTTGTTACCTGACAGGTGCTGGGAATGAAACCTGGGTCCTCTTTAAGAGTAGTGAGTATTCTTAACCACTGAGCCATCTCTCCAGTCCCCCAAGTTCAATTTTTAAAATCCCAATGTTTAACAAGTCCAGCATCTTCTAGCAGTCCAGAGTCCTTTAAGTGTGAACTCATAAAATTTTTAAAAAGTTGCTTCCAACATATTATGATACGGAGTAAATATGCCTATTTCAGAGGGGAAGAATTGGGATATATCAAGGAACGGTTGGATCTAAGCAAGATTAAAACTCAGCAGGGAGCACTCTAAAGCCTGATGTTTCATAACCAGCTCCTAGGATTCCTAATGGAATCGTCTCAGTTCCAAAGGCTTAGGTAGCCCTTCTTGTCAAGCTCT